GAGATATGTACTTCCTGACATAGAAATGAGACGAAAAAGAACACAAGCAAACACAGATCGTTTACGTGGTTCGATCCAACTGGATCTACGTCCACGGGAGGGAATCAATCAAATATTTCACTAAGGCAAAAGAAATGGAGAATACATAGCTTATACATAGAGATGAGCCCTCATCTTCCTTCTACGACCTCTCTCTCAAGCGACACCTTGATACAAGGCCTCAAGATGCTCTCCTCCTCTCTAGCTCTCTAGCTATTCTCTCCTCCTTTGTGGTAGCTTAAGATCTCTTCTCCCTTGCTCTCCTAAGCCTCACACCCTCTCTATTTATAGAAGCAAGAGAGTGGTAGGTGGGAGGTAGGTGGGTGGTGGTGGCCGGTAGGTGAGCGGTGGTAGGTGGCAGTGCCACATTACTCTTTTACCTTAGTTCATTAATTGGGGGTCAAAATAACAGGTTTTGAAGCACGATTCTTTGTGTTCTTCTTCGGTAGTTTTTGCTTCCACGGGACAAAGGAAGAGAAGTGCAAGGTGTAGTTCCTTGCAGTGAAGGAAGAAGAAAGAAGAAGAAGATTACCCTCCCTTGACTTCTTCTTAGTGGCTTGTGACAGAAAAGAAATTGAGTTTATTTCTTTTGTAAATTTATCTTCTTCGATGTATCTCGATGTAAAGTTTATTCGGTGTAAAGAGAGAATAACAGAGAGAGAAGAAGAGAGAGCAACGAAGTGAGAGATTCTTCTTGTAAGTCGAGACGATCGACTGTTGTAAAATTCTTTAAGTAGTAAAATTCTCTACAACTCCGTGAACGTAAGAAATTTGTCGAACCACGTAAATCTGTGTGTTCCACAGTGTTACTATTTTCTAGCGTGAATTTTCTCGTTCTATTTTTTCGCTTCGTTGATCGTTTTCCTGTTTGATTTATATATATACCACATCAACTGGTATATATATCTCACAACAATCATGTGCTAAGAAATATGATGCTAATGTTTTCGGTAGCGGTGACCCAACGGCGGGGATGGCGTCGATGGTAACATCGGTCGAGCGGTGGTGGTGTTCTAGCGACTACAATTGGGTACTGACGATCTAGCAATGGTGGAGCTCGAAGGCTACTCCGACGGTGGTGAGATTCCAAGGCGATGACCAGACAGTGATAGTTCGACAGTGGCAACGACTCGAAAATAGTGGTCGGGCAGCGGTGGTTCAATGTTGATGATTTGGTGGCAACATTCTCGATGATGATGGCGAAGCAAGAAGGCAATTGTTTGGTGGTGGTGGAGCTAGAAAATCCTTATTATTTTGGATTTCCCTTTAACCTTCTCATCCAGATCAATGTCACAATAGATATTGCAACTGACATCCTCTGTAAAGACTATATGAATCAAAATCACTCAATGAGACAACCTCGAGCAATCCATTTGATTGGAGAGTGTTGCATTAACAATTGAGTGTCTTCTTCATGCCAGAATTAAGTAATTTTAAGCTTGTTGGATTCAGCTCAACGGACACTCAATTTGAATATAAGATTGTCATTTTTAGAATTATTTAATCATTAAATTGGCCATCCAAAGCCACAAATTGTTCTCAAACAACCTGATTAGACTCAGTTCAGGCTAGTTTGGCTTCATTTATCTAGCATTGTTGCTATAGTCGTTTTGACCCTCTATGCATGATAAAACCGAAGCCTGAATGAAATGAGTTCATATTTGGAATTGTCCGTTGCTCAATATGCTTTAAGATTCGTGCATAATGATAATTTTTTTCAGAAATGTACCAATAATGAATCTCTGTACAGTAAACTCCTCAAGTTTTGCATTTTCTTATACTTATTTCACTTGTAGAACTTTAATTGACATTTTTCATGAATTAGTTTGTTTCTCACATTTATTTATTAAATTATTATCAGTTTATTTTAGTGGATGAATTCAATTCAATCTTCGAGTTCAAAAGGCATCATAATTTTTTGGTTGCATTTGTAAAAGCGCATATTATGTCAGGACTCTGAACGTAGATGTACGTTCGGGTAGGAATATTCTGTTGTGTTATATGAATATTCCAACTACATTATTTGTAGAAAATGAAGAGTTATTCAAGTATTATGTGATGTTATTCGATTAATTTGCAGTGTTATTAAAATATTACACCGCGTTACTTGATTTGAGGCTATGTTATTCCAATAACATAGTGAAAATTGAAATAACACGGGGAATATGCAGAAAAAACACAACTCTAAATCAAGTAACGAGGGAGAATATTCCAATAAAGCCGGAAAGTAATCGAATAATATCACATAATACTCGAATAACACTTCATTTTTTAAAATAACGAAGATGAAATATTTCTGTAACACAGCGGGATATTTATAACTATTGCAATCCGAACGTAGCTCTACATTCGGAGTCCTGATGTAATATATTTCCCAGTTGTAAATACATCGATTTCGTAAAAACAAAATGTATGCAATTATCCAATTATCATAAGTATAAGTATTAAATTTTAGTTGGTAGATATGTAAATATAAGAATTGTAAAATGCAACACAGTGCAAGCCCAATCAAGTAAAAATCTCATTTACTCCACTCTACTTTTCGCCATGAAAAGCCGCATCACCTGCTCCTGTTGTCTTCTCCGATTCCACCGCTATCTCTGTCTCTCTCTAGCTTGAGCTCGTGCTTTAAGAAACAGAGGGGACAATGCCATTAACGGAAGACCCGAAGCTGTCAGCTTTCTCGTCTTCTTCTTCTTCCTCGCAATCTTCTATGGATCAAAACTCGCTCACCTGCGCTTAATGGCTGCTTTATTTCTTCTTCTACCTCAAGTTTGGATAAAAAAGATGAAAACTTTAAGCCTATGGACTGTTCCTGCAGCGGCTTTCCTTCTGCTAATCTGCTGCAACTGCTTTCCAGGTATCTCAAATCTTCGTTTTTTAGCTGTCTGTGGGGAAGAAATAGGATTCTAATGGCGATTTTCATCACATTTTTTGAGAAGAGTTAATGTTATTTGCTTGAAATGATTGGAAGTTCATGTGGGATGTATTGTGTGTAATGCTGTGTTTTATTCAGCTTTACCTGTTCTGTTCTGTTTTCCCTCTTTGGTATATGTTGTGCGATAGCATTTTCTCATTTCACTATTGCATCACTTATTTTGTTTGGTTTTGTTATCTATTTTTGTTTCTAAATGAAGATTTCAGCTTAGATTTATGGGCTGCACTTAGCAGAGGAGATAGCATAAAAAAGCAAAATCTTTGGTTTGGATGCTCTAAAGTATTGCATACCACCAATTCTTATCTAGCACCTAGACTTAATTTTTTACATTTTTACCAGCCAAATCATTAAGAAATATCACTATTTTAACTTTTAGAAACTGAAATACATCTCTTCACTTTGCTGGCATAAATAAGATGTCATATCTGTAAAAAAATGAAGTTTTGATTGATGTTAGATATGTAAATACATAAGAAGTGAGTGATATGCATGTAAATACATAAGAAGTGAGTGATATGCATGTAAAACTTCATTTATTTATGCTTTTTTTTTTTCATGATGGGCTTTAATGACTGTTTTTGGTGTTGTTACAAGTGGAAAAGAGTGTAATTATAACAAAATTAATATGAGTGTTAATGTAAATAATTGCAAAAGTTAGTTGGATGAGAATAGCGTTTAGTAGGATTTAATTAAATGAAGTGAATGGATTTGTGATATAGTAAAGGCTTCCACTTCTCCATTATTCTGCTAAATTACTCCAAAAAATTTGAACTGTTAACGGCTATTTTTTGTTTCAGATTCTTCTATAAGTTCAACATCACCTGGAGGTTTTAAAGCTGAGTTATCTAACAGGAAGCTGAAGGTATGTTCATTATGTTACTTGTTTTTGCCTATTGTTTTTTTGTTGCTTTTTAGTTTGTTTCAGTGTAAAGAATTTTATTTACAATCAAATATGCTATAATGTGTTGTAGCCCGGACAAATAAAATGAAAGCAAAATAATAAAAATTAGATTTTTATTAAACTTAAAACACTTGCACAATGGAAGCTTTTATATAGATGTTGATTGGAGAAGCAAACAGAAGAATACTAGAGTTGCACTCTTAAGCACTCAAACTAAGCACTCCAATCGAACACTCCCTTAGAGAAACAAATGAGTCCTATGTATAGAGGACGACTCGTACTATGAACTCCAAGCATTATACAATATAATTAATTAGATTTCTTTCTTGGTAAGAAGGAATCTATTAATAACTTTTTTTATTTTTTATTTTTTTCATAATGTAATCCCCTTTTATACATGAAGAACCAACATAATAAAATAATCTATAGAGAAGATGATGGAAAAGAGAGGGAGGTGGATGAAATCTCCTAAAAGGAACTCAAGAGTAATATATTTATGGTTACTAGCCTGAGCAATAAGTTCCTCCAACATTTCTTTAGTTACAGGCTTTTAGAAGAAAAGTTCTTCGAGAGCTGGAACTAGAGACAAATAGACAGAGAGAAGAGAGTTTTTTTCCTCTCCTTTCTTTTTTCATTTTTTATTATTTTCATAATGCAATCCCCTTTTATACATGAAGAACCAACATAATAAAATAATCTATAGAGAGATGACGGAAAAAGTGAGAGAGAGATGAATGAAATCTCCTAGAAGGAACTCTGAGTAATATATTTATGGCTACTAGCCTGAGGAATAGGTTACTCTGACATTTGTTTGGTTACAGTCTTTTAGAAGAAAAGTTTTTCGAGAGAGGGAACCAAAGACAAATATATATATATAGAGAGAGAGAGAGAGCTTTTTTCCTCACCTTTTTTTTCATAATATAATCTCCCCTTTTATACACGAAGAACCAAAATAATAAAATAATCGATGTCATATAACTTGTCGATCCGATGTCTGTGATAAGACAATTTTAATGTGGATGAGATTTATAGTCGTCGAGCTATCATGTATAGTCATATAGCCGTCGAGTTTCCAGTACAATAGATCGCTGCATTCCTCCACTTCAACCAACCAACCTAAATTTTACTAATAACATTTCCATCTATATCACAATCACTTTGAACAATAGGCCCGATATATCTAAAACATTGACACCTTTTTAAGGATTTGATACCCATAGTTACAACTCTTGCCACTAGAGTTACTAATACTAAAATTACATTCTATGTATTTAGTTTTAGTTCTACCCAAGCGAAGGCCTTTAGACTCCAATTTAGACCTTCATAATTTAAGTTTTTCTTAAACTCTTTCTCTAGGCTTATCCACAAGAAGGAAATCATCAGTAAAAAACATTACACGAAGGTGCATCCTCTTGTAAATTCCCCATAAGAGCATCCATAACCAACGCAAAAAAGATATGGGCTTAAAGCAGATCCCTGATGTAATCCAACTGAACTGCAAAAATACTTGGTCAACCCTCCTATTCAAACCCAAGTAACAACTCGAATTTACATTAACAATACCTTTCTTCTCTAGAACTCTCCAAAGTACTTCTCTTGGAGCCTTATCATAAGCTTTTCTAAATCAATAAAAACTATATGTAGGTCCTCCTTATTCTCTGTATACTTTTCCATCAAACTTTTCATTAAATAAATAACTTTCATAGTAGGTCTGCCTGACTTAAATCTAAAGTGATTATGAGAAATCTTCGTAATACATTTTAACCAATGTTCAATTAACCTCTCTTATAATTTTAAAGTATGACACATCAACTTCATTCCTCTATAATTTGCACACTCTCGTGCACCCTTTTTATTCTCAAAGACGGGGACCAAAATACTCTTCCTCCACTCTTGATTCATCTTTTTAATTTTTAAAATGATATTAAAGAGTTTAGTAAGCCAAGACACTCCCAAATCTCCTAAATGTTTCAAAAATTGATTTGTGATATCATCACGTCCTACTGATTTTATCCCCTTGGTTTTCTTTAAAGCCCCCTCAACTTATTTTTTACTAATGCGATGGTAAAAATAAAACTTATTATTATTATTATTAACAATATCAAATCACTAACATCGATCCTATTTTTTGAAATTTTATTGAAAAGTTTATCAAAATAATTCACCCATCTATGTTGAATATCTTCCTCTAAGAAAAATACTTTTTGATTGTCATCTTTAATACACTTTACTTGAATTAAATCCTTACTTTTTTTCTCCTTGTTTGACTAGTTAATACATATATTTTTCACTCGCTTTAGTTTATATATATATATATATATATATGTAGACACACATAAATTTGTGGTATATCTTTGTTATTAAAGATATTTGATTAGAATGAATATTTTTAATTAAAAAAAATATTGAAAGAATATAATAAAAAAAAAATCAAAATTTAAGAACTTTTACACATGAATATAATAAGAAAAATTCAAAAGGCTTACAACTAAGCAATCCTTTGTGTTAATAAATTTTATGGCTTATTTAGAATTAAATTTATTTTATATTTTTAGTTCTATTTTTGCTTATATATTTTAATTATGTTCATTTAGTGTAATTTTTATCATTTTTATTTTTAATCTCTTGCGATGTATAACTATTCATAGGAATTGATTGGTATGTATGTAAGGCTCCATTTGGGCCCGCTTTTTTCACATGGGGCGGCCCTAAACTGTAATAAAATACTCTTTTGTATTCCTACTGCACGGCCGAAGGATGCGAAATAGGGGGAAAAGCGGGCCGCGGAATCAACCCTAGCTTATGTGTTTCAGGATAAGCTGCTTATCTTGAAACGCAGCCCGCAGGCCGACCGCCGGGGTCGACCCGCTGCCTACGTTTAATGTAAAAACTCAAACACAGTTTCTGATAAACTGGTGAAACGCGCGAACCAAACAGTACAACGGAGTTTTGAAAACGCCGCCCACACTTATAAGCTGCCCCAATCTTCCTTAAAAAAAGTTGCTTTCACCACAATAAACTTACAACCACATTCGTAAAAAGATTTCATCCATGAAAGTTAAGTTGCTAGTAGAAGTTCTCATGTATGATAAAATGATTTTAGTTGGACTTCTCTGAATATTGACAATCATCTCCATATCTTATTGTTAGACATTAATGTTTTGTTTATGAACCCTAAAACATTATTTTTCAGAACATATGAACCAAAAATATTATTGGGGCATTTACATACATACCCCTCGGTTCATATTTATTCGCATATCTAACACCTAAACTATACTTTTTTACATTTAAATCTTTCATTTCACATGTAAAATATCACCATTTTAACTTTTTCATGCATAGATAAAGTGGGTATGCATGTAAAAATTGAATCTTAGGAGCCTGCCTGCATAAAAATTTAGTGGTATATATGTAAACTCAATTCCTATGTATTTGCATATCTAACATTTTTCTAACTATGCTTTTTTACATGTAAATCCTTCATAGCACATAAAACATATCACCATTTTAACTTTTTCAGGCATAGGTAAGGTGGGCATGGATGTAAAAATTGAAGCTTTAGGTGCTAGAGATGTAAATACATAAAAATTGAGTAGTATATATATATGTAAATTCTCTGAAATTATTTTCAGGACATCGTATCGTCAACAATCAACACGGCCATAATTGGAGATGATTCGAGCAATTATAACCTTGATGACTATCCCGGGAATGATCCTTCTCCGAGCTCGAAAGTTGACGTGCATGCCGGACCGATCGAGAATAGAAGCCCTTTTATGCCTTACTTCACCAGACCAACTCCTCCACCACCTCACCCACTGCAGGTTTCTCCTTAAGAATCCTAATTTCAGTTTGTTAAAGAAAAACTACAGGATTGCATTTTTTTTTTTTTTTTTGGATATGTTTTAATGGACATTTAGTTTGGTTAGCATGAGTGAAATTGGTGGTGATATTCATGATCTGTGAATTTTTTATTTGGGGGCAGGAAGTTTGCTGGATTTACAAATCAACCACCCTCTTTCGACCTTTTTTTTTTTTTAAATTCTCACTCGAACATCAAAATTTATGGTTAAAACCCAACCCATATTTTTTAATTTTTATCAAATTCTCAATAGTTTGATCATGCGTAAATACATCTGTTCTGCAAAAAAAAAAAAATCACATGAGTGGTTAATTTGTAATATCAATGTTTCGAGTCCGGGTGGATGGAATTTTATTTTTGGCGATGTTTTTGAAGAGAGAAACAAAGAGTATTTTAGTGCTTTTTATTTTGATCGTTGGATTATCTTGAGATCGATGTTGATTTTCATGTTCATATTTGTTGGTCGACTGAAGAGAAGCGACTGAGGGAGAGAGCTTGACTGGTCAACTAAAGTGAGGTGGACTGATTAAAACAAGGTGATTGACTACTACTGTTGGATTATCTTGAGATTCGTGCAAATCATTGTTGAGTGTATAATATCAAAAGATTATTATGTAGTTGATAATCTTAATTTGATTATTAAAGGAGCATATCTCCACTACTAATTTTAATGATGATTAAAAAGAATATTCTTCTTAGAAAAGTGTATGTGAGCCGAGTTATCTCGTGAGCCGGCTTGGGCTCAACTTGATAAGTTACTTGTGAATTGATAAAATTACAAGTTAAGCTTAAGCCAACTCCTAGCTCGATTTGTTAGCTTGAGAGCCCATTGTTTAAAAAATTATTAATAAAATATATATTTAAATTATATTAAAATTCAAGAATTATTATTATTATTAAAAATATTTTAAGAATAATGTTTTATAATTTTATAACAAAATTTCTTATTAGTTATCATTTAAATGTTCAATTTATTGTTCTATAATTCATACTAAACAACGTGAGCAGTTCGAACTCGATAGAATTAAGCTCGAGCTTGATTCGACTCGTTTTCACCCTGTGAATCATGGAGGCTGAGAAAATTAAATTGCAATTAGATCTTATTGCAAACCCTCTTTATTTTGATTATGACATTTTCTAATAAAATGTTGTCATTCACTAACAAAAAAATGAAATGTAATTTTTTATATAGATGGATTGATGACACTAGATGGGTATAAATTTAAATATGAAATTTTATTTATTAGATAATGCTAAGATGTAAGTTTAAAGTAAAGTGTAAGTGAGCGGAGTCGACTCATGATCTGGCACCAACTCAACTCGATAAGTGGTTCGTAAACTAAGTTTGATGAACTAATAAGCTAAACTCAAGCTACAGCAAAAACACGACTGGTTAGCTTGCACGTTTAAAAAAAATAAACAATTAAAACATATTTAAAATACAATAAATATACATTTTTTTTGTTTTTTACTTTAATTTAATTTAGTTATACATATATTTTACTTAAAAGAAAATATTTTTCATAAGTTATAACACGTTTAATTTATTTTCAAAAGATCAAAGCATCTATATATTTTTTAATGCTTTTAAAAATAAGTAATTTATTTTAAAAAATAAAAAAATATATCTATAAATTATACTAAACAAATATATATATATATATATTAAAAAATACAAATCATAGGGGTAAATAAATATTAGAGAGATTCAAGAATAATAAATTTGTTTTACTTTTTAGGGGAAAAAATCAAATTTCGCTTTTAATGAATGTAAATCCAAAATTTAACATGATCAAAATTATATAAATATATATATATAAATAATAGAGGCTCTTAAATAATATTATTTATTTATAATATAATGGCCGCTACGCTACTCGAGCTTGAGCTCACAATTTGGTGGACGAGTCAAGCTGTATAAGGGCATGACTCGAGCTCAACTCGACTCGTTTACATCCCTATCTCCATCCATCATCTGCTATGACTGTTGATTTAAACAATTTTGATCACTCTAATTACACAGGTGAATTCCTTTCCGATGTGTCTTTGATCGGCAGAGGAAGGAATATTCACGGATTATGGTTTTATGCACTCATATCTTCATAATCATGTGTATCCGAATGGGTAATTAGAGAGACACAGAGATATGCTTGATTCTCCTGGTGAACCATAAGGGCAAAGACATGTTGAAGGGGTAGATAATTAATGAGGTATTGTGAGATGATTAGGCATTGCATTAGATTATTAATATCAGTCAACTAAAGAAGTTAACAAAGAATTAGTGTTCATTTACATCCATGAATGACCTCAATTTGGAAACGATTGAGATCAAATATGTCCGTGAGACTTGTCCAAGGAATAGAACTTGAATGATGGAATGAGGGAGTGAGGGAGTGAGGGAGGGAGGGAGGAAAGCAATAGCACAATAAAGAACAATAAATTTGTATACACCAAAATTATTGTCACGAATCTGAAAGAGAATGAGTAGCCGAAAATTCGGAGCTTCACTATGGGGTCAACGGTCGACCGGAAAATTCAACGTCAAGCATGAGAAGCCACATCTCTAAATCTGGGATAAGTCAAAGCTCTGGAGATAATTTCTCATTGTTTAGCGACAAGATTTTCCAAGGGGGAGACACAAATCAACCGACAAAAAGTCTCGTCGGATACACCGCATAGGCAGCGATTCGCCCAAGACCTTGTGAGATGGGAGATCCGACCGAGTCAACGAACTGACCAGACATACGAGACACATGTCCTATAAGACTTGAGCAAAATAACAAGTGAGCCACGACTCACCTAACAAAGTAAATTGAATCATCAGTCGATCAACAGATCGAAGCAACAAGTCTTGCAGAATCTATCGGCTAGACCTCTTGTCAAGACGGATAACGGTATTCAAACCAATCGATTACGCCCTCTCGACATAAGCAAATATTAGACGATCAACCGATATGATTGCCACTCGTCGGCCGATAACATTTACCTAAACAAATAAACCATTATCAACCGTTATTCTCTGTCAATATTATGATGACATTAATTCAAATTATACACATAAATTTTATTAAGAGCGG